CCCCAAAACCCCAAAACCCCAAAACCCCAAAACCCCTGGCTAATAAATATGTTATATGTACTGCAATTATCAAATATATTATTAACTATAAAAGCATTATTCAATGGAGTATTAGAAAAGGTCTAAAAGGCTAGACAGTGAGGTCAGTGATTCAAGTGTATCATAGAAAATATCTAAAAAGTCAAAGAAAATCAAAAAAGAAAAAGAGCATAAGATCAAGAATAAGGTTATAGAAAATGTAGTCAGTTTTGAAGATGAATCAGATTTTGAAGTTGTACCTTAGTAAAACGAAATTAATAAAAAAGAAGCAAAGTTGCAAGCTAAAACAGAAAAGAGCAGAAATTACTTCAAAGAAACCAAAAGAAATTTTACTATTTCAGTAGTTGTTCCTTCTTCGATTATTGATAATGCCTAATCTCTTGAACTTAAAACATATCTTGTAGGCTAAATAGCTAAAGCCTGCGGGCAATTCTCAGTCAATGAGATTATTGTATTCTCAAACGATAGGTCATCATAAATGAAGAATCTCCCAAGTGATGGAAATGTTACCACCACAGAATTCTTCGTTAAAAATCTAGAATATATAGAAACTCCTTAATATCTTAGGAAGGCACTTTTTCCACGTCATTCTGCTTTGAGGTATACAGGATTAACAAACCCCTTAGAAGCACCTCACCATCTCAAGATAACTGAATGGTGTAAATATAGAGAAGGAGTAGTAATAAATAGACCAGTTAGTTATGGTAAAGGTTCTTGGGTTAATATAGGACTGCCAAAAGATTGCTAAGTTGATATAAAAATTGAAGAAGGTACTAGAGTCACTGTGAAATTAAATGAAAATGGATTTGATAACACTAAATGTAAATATTCAACATAAATAATGAATAATTATAGATTACTCTGGAGTGGTAGTGAGCTAAACTGAGCCTACTGATGAGTTTGGGTACTTTTGGGGATATAATGTTAGAGTAGCATAGAAATTTGAAGATATTGTTGAATAATGCCCTTTCGAAGATGGGTCATATGACCTAAAGATAGGAGTCAGTGAAAATGGGGAAACTCCAGAGTTTATAGATTATACAAAATACTCAGATTTTAAGCATGCACTTGTCTTCTTTGGAGGTTTAGAAGGTATTGAAGGTATTATTGAACAAGATGAAAGAACTAAACTAAGTACTGTAGCTATTAAGAAAATGTTTGATTTATTAGTAAATCCTCTGCCTGAGAGAGGTACAAGAACAATTCGTACAGAAGAAAATATTCTAGTCACACTTTCCTCCTTATATCCTAAATTTAGATAGTTTGGTGCTCATCTCTAGAATTGAAATCAAATCTTTAGACTTCAATCATTTAATTAACTATTTTTTAAGAAGTATTAATTTCATCAACATTATCCTATAATCATTGGGATCAAATAAAGAATGGCGGGGTTTTGGGGTTTTGGGGTTTTGGGG